ATAGAGTTTACAATCTAAAAGATTATACTTCTAATGAACTTTGCTTTCACAGGTTACAGCAGGAAACAAACCGTTAATATAAATCACTTAGTAGGCTTATCCACAAAACAGGCTGCAGATCAAAATATCAATATAACAATACATACGTGCCAAAATAAAACACCTCCCACCTCTCCAAATCCCCCACATATACATTTCTCATCAGGTTTGTCTGAAAACTGAATTTCAGTCGAAATAAAGCAAACGTGGAAGAGCAGAGCAATTGACGTGTTAGGATTACAATGCAAACATAATAAACACACAATCGTTGAACAATAACACACAAACACACCTTAGAAGGAAAAAATGCAAAACATTTACAGCCCACATCAAAACACAGCGTGAGTATGGCCTGGGGCAATTCACCACAATATCTCTTCATCCCCAAACAACCACAGGCAGGGACTTGCAGAAAATAACATGGCCTGTACAAGGCTAAATCAGTGGCTACTGCAACTCTTTATATAAGGTAGGCCACACCCACCACTATCATTAATTTGGTCAGAGAAAGTGTTTGCACCTAATTAATTTCTTCCCACTTGCATTAACCCTTGGTATACAGGCCCCACAAATCAGAGTCCGAAAGAAAGCCACAGTGAAATGTACCTGTGCAGCATACAACAGAACATTGAACAGGGATGTGAAAGGAAACCCTATTGGCAATATTTCTTTGCACTATGGGCACAATTCACTCCAGATTATCGCATGAGTTAAGGCGGTCACATGACCACATCTCGCATGCAATACTGAAAATGTCAATTCACTTTTGCTAGTATGCGGCATTTCCCATAAATCAGAAAAACACTTTGGAAATCAAACATAAAAAGGCCTTACACCTCACATCAACGCTGATTTAGAAATTGTGCGACATACAGTGATGATGCCGATTTCCTTGCGATTTGCAAGACATCTGACACAGATATCTATGCAAATCGCCACAAAAGTAGTACATTTACTGCTTTAGAAATTAGTGTCGGAAATGCACCCATGTGACTACTCTAATAGCAGACAATAGGGTGCGACTTGGCATATGATTTGCAAGTCGCATGTCATGCAAATCACATGCCAAGTCACACTCAATGTGACCGCTATTAGAGCGTTTATATTGGTGTGGTTCAAACTTGGTCGGAGCCGCAACAATTTCTAAAGTAATGAATACACTACTTGCAATTTGGTATGTGATTTGCAAGTCGCAGGGCATGCAAATCGCCTGCCAAGTTGCATCCAGGGTGCACGATTTTAGGTGCGATTTGAGAATTGAAATTGGACCTGATATCGGATATAATGAATGTGGATGTGAGTGTCTTAATGTAAGCGATTTTCTGCAGCACAATTTCAAAAGTTGTTCTTGTCTAACTTTTTCTGCATTTTGTAGCGATTTCACATATAGACTACAATAGAAATCGCAATGCAAAACACAATTGAAAACGGAATAACTCATTGGTAAATCTACAGAAAACACGGTGAAATTGCCAACAATAGTCACAATTTTAAATCGCATCTAGTGTGAACCAAGCAGGCAATTCAACAAATAAATCTTTAAAGGCATGCGGTATCTGCATGCTCGGATAAGGTCTGTTATGGATTTGGGGGGGGACGGGACTCCATGCCATTGTTTTATTAATTTTTTTTTCTAAATCCTTTTCTCTCTCTCACTCACTCTTCTCTTGGTTTGACAAACCTTCCCAAAAGGGGGTAGAGTGCAAACCAGCAGTATCAAATCAATCATTAGTCCAGGCCCTTATCTCATCCCATTGTTTGACATTCACATAAGGTGCAAATTTAAAGGTGTTTGAACAAACAAGGCCTCATTCTAATTCACATTCTAGGGATCATTTAGACAGAAAGCAAAGATGCTGCCACCAGCACATGTATGTTAGGGTAGTTACATGGAGATCATGCAAATTCATTGCCGTGGTTGGGATTCAAACCGACAACCCTAGCGTTGTAAGGAAGCAGTGCTAACCACTAATCCACAGAGCTGTTGAGCACTAATCTTGCCTGTATTTCTGTGGTGTGAATCAACCCTAAGTCCCTGGGCAAGGTTAGTGTAACTAGCCAGATATCTCAAATGTGAAACAAATGTTGTACTATGTTACCAATTCAGATGTATGTTGGTTCTATGTATCCCAATACAAAGGATTGCAATACTAATACAGGTGTACCGCGGTTTCCCAACGCCTCGGTTAACGTAATTTTCAGTTTACGAATAAAAATCCATTGAAAATAATGCCTCAGTTTACACAAGTGTTAATAATTTTTTTCGCAATACAAAGTGTATGTCAGCACTGATTTTTAAATGCAAATGCCAGCCTTTTTTTTTCTTCACTATAGTTCACAAGCTTAGATGTCACTTTCCCCGGCGTTTTAGAAAACTTTGTATCTTTTAACTTCTTGCCGACCAGCCACTGTAGAAATACGATGGCAGGGCGGCACGGCTGCGCAAAACCACGTTTTAAAACGTGCTTTTGCAAAACAGGTAGGGGGCGCGCTCTACCTGCGCCGCCGATCGTGGGTGTCAGTTGCCGGGTCACGGCCGGTCATTACCTGCCGTGTCCCGGTGATTAGCGGCAATCACTGACAGAGAGCACGGCTGCAGTGTTTACACTGCACCTCTGCTTTCAGTCAGTTCTCTGTCAGCTCCTGACATGCTGATCCGGAGAGAAGAGTTTATCTCTCCGGATCAGCGTGTTCTTGTGCAGTACACACCCCCGCCCCCTAGTAAAAAACTCCCCTCACACAGTTACCCTTTCATTGAATAAAAAAATTAACCCCTTCCTCCCCAGTGCCATTAGTACAGTGTCAGTGTTTTTTTTTTTTGCACTGATCACTGTATTGGTGTCACTGGGGATGTCAGTCCCAAGTCAGTTCCCCCCCAGTGTCAGAATATCCGCCGCAGTCCCGCTGTCCTGGCATAAGTCGCTGATCGCCGCCATAAGTCACTGATCGCCGCTATAAGTCGCCATTATTAGTATAAAATTTTTTTTTAAATCCCAGTATCTTTCCCGCCATTTGTAAACGCTATAACTTTCACATAAACCAATTAATTTACACCTATTGGGTTTTTTTTTTTAGCAAAGAAATGTTGCAGAATGCACTTTGGCCGAAATTTATGACGAAATTTGATTTTTCAATTTTTTTACTGGACATGTTTTATAGCAAAAAGTCCAAAATATATATATTTGTTTCTCAAAATTGTCAGCCTTTTTTTTATAGCGCAAAAAATAAAAAACGCACAGCCGATCAAATACCACCGAAAGAAAGCTCAATTTGTGGAAAAAAGGACGTAAATTTAATTTGGGTGCAGTGTTTCATGACCACGCAATTGTCAGTTAAAGTAACGCAGCACCGTAACACAAACCTCTTCTGTAACCGCTTCCTGACCACCCTATAGCAGAAATACTATTACAGGGCGGCATGGGTGCGCAAAATCACATATATATATATATATATATATATACATGATTTGCGCTCCCATGGTTTTCACGCCCCTCCCAGATAGTGTCAGATTGCCCGTCAGTACACCAGTCATCACATTTAACCCCTTGATTGCCAGCAGCACGCGCATACACAATAAATCTCCATTGCTAGCATAGTGTCTGAACGGGTCAATATCTTTGATCAGATCAGCACTACGTATACCAGCGTTCACATTAGTATAGCATCCCCAAAAACGCAGCGTTAGCGGGATCAGCCCCGCCACCTGCCAGCACCTGCATTTAGCCCCTACGCTTACCCCCCCCCCTTCTTCCCCAGCAAGTGCAGTGTCAGTAGGTCCCTGTCACTTGATACATTGCACACAAAACCGCAGTGTTCGCAGAATCAGGCCTGATCTCTGTTAGCACTTTCCGGTAAATGTTGAGGACTCTCATATGCAGCAGAGTGCCAGTACTAGTTCCGCGCTACCTTTTGGTGAACTGGCGAGTACCAGCGGTCTAGTACATCTTGGTCTTTCTTCTTTCCTTGATTTTTGGAGCTGTTTTTCACGGAATATCTGTATGCATTGATTGTGGATCAAAGCAATTTATATGCACAATTTATCGCCGCCATCCCAAATTCAAACCTTGCCAGACCAGTCGCATGAAAACTGATTACGGTTTTCGAATTTACATTTTTTTTGGGCCTAACCCTCAACATGGGCATTACTAAAAGAAATGAATTGCGGTTGTATTGGTCCGCAGACCAGATTCATCATATGCCCGTGTTCTATGCTGCCATGGCCAGGCATAGATATGAGAGTATAATGTGTTTTATGCATTTCAACGACAATATACTGTGTCATCTTCGGGTTGACGCTGAATTTGACTGGCTCCACAAAATTCAGCCCCTCGCAAATCACCTTAACCAAAAAATTGCAGATGTCTATACTCCCCAGCAAAATATCTGCGTTGAGGAGTCCCTCATTAATTTTTCTGGCTGCCTTGCATTCAAACAATTTCTCCCCTGCAAGCGTATCAGATATGGGGTCAAGATGTAGAAGACCTGTGAGAGGGCAACAGGCTATACTTATAAGTTTTGGATTTACGAGGGAAAAGATAGTCACGTGGAGCCCCCTGGATGCCCAGACTACATAGGGAGCAGTGGCAAGATAGTTTGGGACTTGGTGTCATCCTTTTTCCATATGGGGTACCACTTATACGTGGACAATTTTTATTCAAGCGTGCCACTATTTAGACATTTGTACAATCTTGGAAATGGCGCTTGTGGCAAAGTGTGACCTAATGTGTGCCCACCATTAGAAGTGGGTGGATGCAGGGCGGTATATTCTAATGGTGGGCATACCACACACTTTTTCTGGCAGGGATTTCTTCTCATTTTTGTCATTCAATCTACAGGCTGCATACAAAAAAAAAAAGAACATAGTATATATACCCAACAAGGACCAGCTACCGTACGTACTGGTACATCACTGGAATGTGAATGGTTATACCAGGATGATGCCTAAAGCTGCACCATATTATTTTTTTCAGCCAGTGACCGGCTTTCATGTAAAAGCAATCCTAGTGGCTAATTAGCTGCAGGATTGCTTTTACAAGCAGCCGGAGATGATGCCCCCCCTCCCCCGCTGCTTTCCACGGCCTTCTCAGGCAGTCGTGTGCCATCGGGGGAACCTGAGAATGCAGCCAGTGTTTCTACCAGCTGACCATAGAGCTAATTGGAGACCAGAATGGTGCCAATCATCTCTATAGCCTAAGAATTCGGAAGCTACAAGCATTTCATCACTTCAGTTTCACAGGATATAAATTTTTAAATTGGGAAAGCATCTGATCACACTGATTTTGGTTTGATTAGATAATGTAAGGGCAGAGGAGATTTCTAGAGCCTGATAGACCCCAGATTTCTCAAAAAAGAATATATGACAATGCCCATTGAAGTTATAGGGGATATTTGCATTCCCTGTTATAGCATTAAAAGTGATCAAAAAAAAAAAAGAAAGGTACAAATGTAAACATAATAAAAAAAGAAACAAAATAACTAAAAAAAAAAAAAAAATTGCCCCTCCCATGCGCGCACACCTGTGTGGACAAGCCTTGACCCTGTGCCGGTTTTTTTTTTTTTTTTTTACACAAAATTGTCACTTAAATGATTTACTGCTCACACATGCCATGGGCATATGTGGAATTACTCCCCAAAATACATTCTGCTACTTCTCCCGAGTATAGGGGTACCACATGTGAAAGACGTTTTGGCAGTCTAGCCAAGAACAGGACCCCAAAATCCAATAAGCACTTTCAGGCTTTTAAAGGGCTTATTTCCTCATTACACTTCCAGACTACCTATCACAGTTTCGGAGGCCCTGAAATGCCAGGATAGCAGCTAACCCCCCCAAATGACCCCTTTTTGGAAATAAGACACCCCAAGGAATTTGATAAAAAGCACAGTAAGTATTTTGCAAATCTCATTTGTTGCCACAAGTTTTTGGAAAATGAAAAAAAAAAACAAAAACATATTTTTTCTATTCTTTTTTTATATTTCAAAACCTTGTGAGAAAAAATGAGATCTGCAAAATACTTTCCATGCCTCTTTTTAAATTCCTTGCGGTGTCTACTTTCCAGAAAGGGGTCATTTGGTGGGGGTTTGGTGCTATCCTGGTATGTCAGGGCCTTCGAAACTGTGATAGGTAATGAGGAAGTGTAATGAGGAAGTTACGCACCTTCAGGCTTTCAAAGTGGTCATTGGATTTCAGGCTCCTGTATATAGCTAGACTCCCAAAAAATCTCACACACGTGGTATCCCCATACTCGGTAGAAGTAGCAGAATGTATTTTGGGGTGTAATTCCACATATACCCATGGCTTGTGCGAGAAATAAATCATTTAAATGACAACTTCTTGTAAAAAAAACGAAAAAAATGTTTTGTCATTTTCCAGAAACTTGTGGAAAATAAATAAATCTTCCATGGACTCAATATGCCTTTCAGCAGATAGCTTAGGGTGTCTACTTTACGAAAAGGGGTCATTTGAGGGTGTTTGTACTATGCTGGTATTTTAGCACCGCAAAAAAAGTGATAAGCAGTCAGAAAGTAAAAGCTGTGTAAATTCTATTATCTATACCATATTTTGTAGACGCTATAACTTTCACACAAAGCAATCAATATACACTTATTTGGAATTTTTAACCAAAAACATGTAGCAAATACATTTTGGCCTAAATTTATGACGAAATATTTGTTTTTTTGAATATTTTTTATGACCGAAATGAGAAAATATTGTTTTTTTCAAAAATTTTTTTTTTCTTCAAAACTTTTTTTCGTTATAGCGCCAAAAATAAAAAGTGTACAGGTGATCAAATACCACCAAAAGAAAGCTCTATTTGTGTGAAAAGAAGGACAAAAATTTCATTTATGTACCGTGCAATTGTCCGTTAAACTAGCACAGAGCTGTATAGCAAAAAAATGGCGTAAATTGCCGTATCTATACCATAGTTTGTAGACGCTATAACTTTCACACAAAGCAATCAATATACACTTATTGGGATTTTTTTTTTTTACCAAAAACATGTAGCAGAATACATTTTGGCCTAAATTTATAACTAACTTTGAGTTTACTATATATTTTTTATAGCTGAAAGTAAAAAATATTGTTTTTCTTCAAAATTTTTGGTCTTTTTTTGTTTATAGCGTTAAAAATAGAAAGCGCACAGGTGATCAAATACCTGAAAGAAAGCTCTATTTTTGTGAAAAAAAGGGCGTAAATTTTGTTTGGATGCAGCATTGCATGACCGCACAATTATCAGTTGAATTAGTGCAGCGCCGAGTAGCAAAAAGAGGCCTGGTCAGGAAGGGGGGTAAATCCTCAGGAGGGCAAGTGGTTAATAAACTCAAAGTAAACATTGTTTCCTTTAGGGATATAAATTCAAAGAAAACTTTCTTTTAGCTGGGGAAGTGACAGCTGAATTTCTGAGCTATAGTGAAAAAAAAAAGGGAGAATTACATTTAAAAACCAGCACCATAATAAATAAAAAACATTGTGGGATCCCCCCTCCCATCCACACCAAGCCCTTCGGATCTGGTATGGATCTTAAGGGGTAACTCCATGTCAAAATGTAAAAAAAAAAACGGCATGGGGTCCCCCCTCCCATTCACATGAAGCCTTGGGGTCTGGCATGGATATTAAGGGGTAACTCCACGCCAAAATTAAAAAAAAACAGCGCCCCCCCTCCTGAACTATACCAGGCCACATGCCCTCAACAGGAGGGGGGGGGTGCTTTGGGGTAAGGGAGCTTATCAGAATAATTTCAGCGTGGAGTTTCCCCTTAATCCATACCAGACCTGAAGGGCTTGGTATGGATGGGAGGGGGGACCCCATGCTGTTTTTTTAATTATATATTTAATTTACGGGAATTATTTTACATTCAGCTGGAACCCCGCTGACAGCTGAAACATTAACACATGGTTGTTGCTACTAAAATTCCGCATGAGTTATTTTATTAACTCATGCAGCGTTTTAGTAGTGAAAACCAATGCAGCGTTTATGTTTCAGCTGTTGGCGGAGTTCCCCACTGACAGTTGAATGTAAAAGCATTGTAGGGAATTATAAATTTTTTTTTTTTTAAAAAAACGGCGTGGGGTCCCCCCCTTCTATCCATACCAAGCCCTTCAGGTCTGGTATGGATATTAAGGGGTAACTCCACGCCAAAATTAAAAACAAAATGGCGTGGGGTTTCCCCCAAAATCCATGCCAGACCCTTATCCAAGCATGCAGCCCGGCAGGTCAGGAAAGGGGGGGGGGACGAGCGAGTGCCTCCTCCTGAACCATACCAGGCCACATGCCCTCAACATGGGGGGGTGCTTTGGGGCAGGGGGGTTCCCCCCCCAAAGCACCTTGTCCCCGTGTTGATGGGGACAAGGGCCTCTTTTCCACAACCCTGGCCAGTTATTGTGGGGGTCTGCGGGCGGGGTGCTTATCAGACTCTGGAAGATCCTGCCCCCCCCCCCTACGTGAATGAGTATGCTGTACATGGTACCGTTACTAATTCACAAAAAAAACAAAAAGTGTAGTGTAAAAAACCACAGGACACAGTCTTTGACAAGTCCTTTAATAAAAGAATGTCCCCTGAAGTAGATCTCCAACGTCAATCACGGTGTCAGGCGCCGGTGACCCGAAAAAAGAAAGAAAAAAAAAATGTTCCGCTCCCGACGGAGGCTCACCAGCCTTATGCATTGAGCCAGGGTGACAGTTCTTAAATAGGTAAGGGGCGGCGCCAGCCGGGGACATCAAGCATGTGATCCCACCCCATGTGACAGCAATGATGTCACATGGGGCGGGGTCACTCAGATGATGTACCCGGCTGGCCCCACCCCTTACCTATTTAAAAACTGTCACCCTGGTTCACTGCATATAAGGCTGGTAAGCTTCCATCGGGAGAGAAGAACGTTTTTTTTTTTCTTTTTTCGGGTCGCCGGCGCCTGACACTGTGATTGAAGTTGGATCTACTTCGGGGGACATTGTTTTATTAAAGGACTTGTCAAAGACCCTGTCCTGTGGTTTTTTACACTACACTTTTTGTTTTTTTGTGAATTAGTAGCGGTACCATGTATAGCATACTCATCCACGTAGGGGGGGGGGGCGGGAACTGGGGGCCCCCTTGTTAAAGGGGGCTTCCAGATTCTGATAAGCCCCCCGCCTGCAGACCCCCGCAACCACCGTCCAGGGTTGTGAGGAAGAGACCCTTGTCCCCATCAACATGGGGACAAGGTGCTTTGGGGGGGAGCCCCCCCTGCCCCAAAGCACCCCCCATGTTGAGGGCATGTGGCCTGGTATGGTTCAGGAGGGAGGGCGCTCGCTCGTCCCCCCCTTTCCTGACCTGCCGGCCTGCATGCTCGGATAAGGGTCTGGCTTGGATTTTGGGGGGGACTCCACGCGGTTTTTTTTAAATTTTGGCATGGAGTTACCCCTTAATATCCATACCAGACCCGAAGGGCTTGGTATGGATGGGAGGGGGGACCCCACGCCATTTTTTTTTATTATTTATTTAATTTACGGAAATTATTTAAAATTCAGCCGTCAGTGGGGAAACCCGTTGACGGCTGCAACAATAACTCATGTGGGATTTTAGTAGTGACAACCATGTGTTATGTAGGCCATAGACTACATAACACACAATCGGCTGATTTTCGCACCGTTAATGGGTTAATTGGTCGTCCGTTTTCTGGGTTTTAGCACATTTTTTTTATCGGTGAAGTTGGAAAAAAATCGGCAGATCTTATTACCGATAAAAAATCTGCGCTTGAGCTGTGGCCTGCAAGAAGAAGGAAAAGAAGAAGATAAAGAAGAAGATAAATAAGAAAAGAAAAAGAAGAAGAAGAAAAAGAATTTGAAAAAGAAAAAGAAGAAAAAGAAGAAGAATTCCAGTCCGCTATTACATTTGACATGAAAAAGTATTGCGGTTGCAACAATGTATCTATTTGTATCCAAATAAAAACATCTGTATCCAAAATGGATACAAATGGATACATTGTTGCAACCGCAATACTTTTTCATGTCAAATATAATAGCGGAGCTCTCTGCAGGGACAGAAGTAATTAAATGCCGGCCGTAGACAGGACGAAAATCGGCCAATTTTTTTTACCGTTGGTGGTAACGTTGGCCTATTGAACGACCGATTTTTGTTTTTTGTGTTTTTTTAAAAAAATGGCCAGTTTTTGACTCGTCTAT